TTTTTCGAGCTGCAGGGACCAGCTGAAACCTCGCCAGTTTCTGAGTGCAGCTTCCACAGCCGAAAGCGCCTCTTGGGAGGCTTGCACGCGGGGTGAGAAGGCGGTGGCTTGCTACGCCCGCTATCCAGGTGCAGCTGGAGGGCTGGAAGAACTCAATTTGGCCAGCTCCCGCAGCTGTTTTTGGAATCGTCAGTGAACCCCCCCACCTTGCATCTTCTGTTTCACTTCATTGGGATGCCGCAGGCATTGCGGGCTGCACTGCCCGCATGCTCACCGGCGGTGATTGCGCAGAGGCCTCGAGTAAACGGCCGGGTCCCCAGGGCCTGGCTCAGGGCGTGGCCCAGGAAGGATGACCGTTGAGCTCAGTCTGCTTGCAGCCGTCCCCTGCCCGTCCCCTGCCAGAGTTCTGCGAAGGAACGGTGAGCCTTTCGATGGAGGGCGACAAAGACTCAGGCAGGCGCTGGAGATGCTGGAGGCCTCAGCCCTTAGGCGTTAGGTTCCAGTAGGCCTTCAAGCGCGGATTCCAAATGAATTCGTTCTCATCATTCGTACCAGCCGGCTGGGTTCAGAAGCGCATCCGCAAGCGGATTGGGCCAGACCTTCTTCTCTCCTAAGTCGGATCGCAGCTCACGAGCTTGGTCCAGTCCCAGACAGCTCGAGTTGGTTGCCGCAACTCACTTTCTTCGTGAACTCTCATGTCGTAGTGGATCTTAAAGGTTTGCAGGTCTCGCTGGCAGGCTGAGGGTTTGGGACAGCTCGGAGTTGCCTTCACACCTCCCAAATTCGGCACGGTCAGGGTTCTACCACTTCACGCAACATCCAGCCTGGTTCCCTTGTTCCAGGACATGGCTTTCGTGGGTCTCACCGAGCGCTGGGACGAGTCGGTGTGTCTTTTCCACCGCATGCTACCCGGCGTAGTCAATCATCCGCAACGGCTTTAGTGTGGAAATTGGCGCCCGGACGCTGACCCAGTCATATCCGCATACGGTTGCTCGCAGAGAAGAAATGAACTCAGAGTCTTTTGAGGTTCGGCGGCTCTGTTAGCACTGCACAGCTGGTGGACTTCCATTCCGGAGGACTGCTCATGGTTACAAGTGTGAACTGTAGCAAGTAGCTGGGAAGCTACAGAGCATTCTCAGATCAACTGGGCAACATGTCATCCAGTTTGAGGTTATCGTTACAGCTTCACTTATTTCCCATCTTATGGTTGTCCCAGACTGCCTCTGCACAAGCCGACGGTTTGTTCTTGCGCACGTACTTCCAGCATACACGCAGGGCAGGCAGGAACTCTCCATTCTTCGAGTGCCTGAACTTGAACTAGTAGTATCTCCGTTGGGCGCAGTTTCCAGCATTTGGGCAGCCCAAAGCGTATCAGGATCTCACCAGGATCTTTACGACGAGTCGGTGCTGAATGGCTTCAGGGACCAGGCCTGCGCCTTCGCAAACTTCACTGTTTAGTGGGTAGGTTTGTGCAGCGAATAGCCGAATCATTCTTCTCTTCGCGACGACACCGGCGCCACCCTTGCAGAGAGGTAGGCTTCCAAGCGACTCAGTCCTGTCCCTTTGACGTCCAGGAACAAGTTTAACTTGCGTCGCTCTTGTGTCTATAGCACGTGCAGATCTCCAAACGTAGACTTCAGAAGTGTGCAGTCGGCCTTCCAGTTTCCAGGAATACGTTTCCGCCACAACCGGAGAAAGAAACTTGAGTTTGCTTGCCGAACTGCTAGGTCGACGAAAAAATCTACGCGGCTGCTGAAAGACGCTTCGAGAAACTTCTGGAGTGCCTCGACCAAGGTTTCGATGCGCTGCCCAGCATTCCGCAACAGCATTTCGTTCATATCGCTTAGCTTGATGCGAGTGACGGTCTTAGTCATTGCTTGACTCAGGCGCCTGAAAAGGTAGGTAGGATGAAGGCAGGTAGGGTCAAGCATCCCTTATGCACGCACTCTCTTGTAATTTGATCCCCCACCGACCGTCATCACCAGTAGAGACAGCATGTGGTTCCTCGCTCCCCGAGTCCGATGGACTTTTTTGTGGAAAAGGATCAGACTAGGTAGGCCTTTGTGATATTATGTATTTTCCCTTATTGGGCTTAAGAGGACCCTATTTACTAATATTTTTCAGAGGCTTTAAAGGGCCAACCAGCAGAAGAATGGCTTTCCAGAGCTTGATGCAAGCACCTCAGAGGGCGCAGAAGTCCAAGCGCCGGCGAAGGCATGGCTCTGACAGTCAAGGGGGTGAACACAACATCTTGCAGCTGACGGAAACTTGAATATCGTATAATATACCCCAAATCCGTATTCTAATTATTAAGGCCCCTACATTACCTTCAGTTGTTGAGGAGTTGTCTCCGAGACTTCCGAGGCAGTATGTTGGCGACGGTTCAGTGTGCGATGCGCTGAAGCCGCCGTCCAAGGAGTTGCTTGGCCGTTATGATGTGTTTTTGTAGGTTCCATGCGTCCGCATCGTATTCGTTCATTCTATGTAGGTATAGATCTGTGACCAAACCATCGGCTTTGTGCCTTGTGCCACAGGGTCAGCCGGCCACCCCAACTTGCCCAAATGCATGGTGCTGCCTACGTTGGCAGCCGTACTTGTGTCAGCCACAGAAGGAGCACAGGAGGTGCGCCAAAAGCCCTGAAGAACCGAATTTGCCCGAGGCTGGCAGGAAACTCCAGCGAGCTGACACAGCAGTCTTCGAGACGCACCTGTTCCTGCGAAGCGGAAGGCCCCTGCGACTCTTCCAGCCGGCTTTACGCCACGACACAAGTTCTCGTCCGTTTTCAATCGCCCCAACAAAAGGCATTGGACATCCCTGCTACAGCATGTGTTTTACCCTGTTCTTACTCGCAAGACGCGATAGCACCGTACCTCAAGCTGTGATGACAGCCTCGCTTCAGGCCGCGAATGTGGCATCTCCAAGGCAATTGGGCGCAGCACAGAGTGAGAGGATGTGAGAGGCTACTTCACATCCACTTCGCAATCTATTCACTAAGTCACATCCGCGTGGACGAGAGCGTTGGTGTGTTGTGTTTTGTGCTGAGAATGCAGCACCCTAGCACCCCAGTCAAGCAATCGAATCGGATTACTGTTTTGCTTGGGTGGCCGTTCTGCATGTAACAGGAAGACAGGCAATCATCCTTCAAAGACCGTTACGCCGCTTCTTTTTAAGGTTCAGTTTAGCTAGGCTCAGCTAGGCTTTCATGTACAATTTCTCCGACAACGGGGCATAAATTCAGAACGCCAGGGGCTCATCATCACAAGTGCGCTGCACTGGAGCCAACCTGCAGAATGTTTTTTTGAACTGCGTGGGGAAGGGGCGTGCTGGCGTGTCAAGTCTCGATCCGTAGGAGCGCAATCCGACTACACACGTGCATGTGGTAGATTCGGTGATTCTATCATCTGCCAGGCGCAGGGCATCGATTGCGGGAAATGCCCCAGCAAACGGCTCGCATTTCTGCAGCCTTCAGACCCGCGCTGCGCGCTCGGCTTTGTCTGCTCTGAGTCTGGCGTTCAGAATCGGTTGAATCGTCTTACATACCCTCGTCGGTTCGTCCTGCAAGGCCCGCATCTAGCCTCCACACCCCAATATCACAGCGCTTTCATTGTTCCTCATAGTCTCTACAGGTGCCCACACGTCGGAACTCTATGTAGCCGGTCAGCACGGCCAGGCATCTCACGGAATTGAGGTACTCTAAGCATGCCCGGCCGATAGAAAAATCGTTTCTTAGCATGCTGCGCCCGTCATGCCACAGCATGACCACATGGTGCCATGTGGGGAATTTGGCCAACTGCTGCGATGCAGCGGTGAGAGCTACACTAGACAGAGGTGGTCGGAAACAGGAGCGAAAGAGAAGCTGAGATATGGCACGCGAAGGCAAGCAGTGCAGCGGAAGCCGTGAGCACCGCAAGAAAGACGGGGAAGGATGACGGAGGACAGTCCGATGTTCTGCTGTAGGAAGATGGTTGACCCAGGCTGACGAAATTGTCACAGAATGTGTACAGCAAAAAGAAACTGCTGCACAAGGTCGGGAATCCGACTCCCAGCTCACGTGCGAGGCCATGGGGGTTTTGAGGATATCCCCGACCTTTCGTGAGTCAGGCGGTTCCGGCGGTGTCGTTTAGGGATGCGTTGTAGAATGTTGTAGACCAAGATATAGCGACAAGGCGGTAGGTGACAAGGTTATTCTTATTGGCAGCCTTGAAGATCATCCTAACTCTAGGGGTACTGACTCTGATCTCCACCGCCAGGTGACTTCTGGCAATTGCCTGCTGAAGGGGAAACCGATTTCTGAGGTCTTCGCTTGGGACTTCAAGCCTTAACTGGGCTTTCATCATGCGTGTCTGGCTTACAGTGAGGTCATCATAGCTCATCAATCGATCGCTCGCCTTCGATTACCGAGCACAAGTCTCATCTATGACGCTGAACTAAGCCGGTACATGTTGCCATAGTCAGCTTGTCCCGCTTTTTGAATTTATAGCTTCTCCCCGCAGCACGCTTTATTGCATCACGGCGCACGGACCGCAGATGCGGTTGCCTGGCTTTCTAGAAAAAGACGTCTGCAAGCCAAGCAGGAAGAGTTTCATGGGCATTGGACCCAAAGGAGTCGTTTTGTAAATGCTGGGCTGAAAGAGAAGAGAGGCAATCGCAGGCCAAAAAATACATGCGTTGAGGCGTTGAGGCCGTCTGGCTCCAAGGACAAAGGCAACGTAAACATGTAACCCCATCACCAGATGTCATGTCATATACCTGTGTAGCTACTCGACAACACTCGGAGCTCTCATAGCTGCATTGACACTTGTTCAGAACGCCACTGCCGGAAATGAAGGTATGTGATCCAGCCAAGCCGTGGCAAGGTGCTGCACACTGGGCTTGCTCCCCATGCAAACCGAAGAAGCCGTCGCAGTTACTCAGAACCCTGCACGGACCCCTTCAGGCTTAACTACATACTTAAGTCACTCAGGAATGCAAACACAGACCGTTCGCTTATTCTCGCCTGATGGGCAACGCCTCGTGCGTCGATCGCCTTGCTGAATGTCCGGGCTCCCGCCGCGAGACCCCACCCTTCCTGGCTCCGAACCGTGGAAGCACAACTTTTCGCGATTTCGACTTGATTGAGTGCTGGGCATGTATTACGATTGGCTCAACTTCTTCATGTGTTCCGGACAACATAGAGACAGTCTTGTGACCGAGCCCCAAAAACAGAAACGCTGGACCTCTAGATTGTTGGGCCCCTGCCAAGCCCTGAAGCGTATGCAAGTGGTGGCAGTTGCTCATGCAATCAGGAACAATGCAGAAGCTGCCTACGTGTTCGACTTTACGCAGAACACCCCGCTGTGGGTAGGCAGTGGACTAGTCGGCAAGCGAGGGGAGAGGAGTGATGCCGCCACCCTCACTATCGCACGGGTCAGCTTCCATGTTTTCACCCTCCAGCCAGATATTCTACATAAGCAGGGCTCATTTCTGGCCCTTGGTTGCTTTTGAACTCCACTTCGCACCGCTGCACCCAGGCGCCGCACAGCCCCTCCAGCCGAACTTGGGCCGCTTGACCCAACAAAGCAGGACAATTGCCTTGGAGATGGAAGAAACCGGGCTGCGACGTTCAAGCCTCGCATCCGCAGCAGGGTCCCAGTCCGCTGTGCTTCCGAGCCAAGTAACTGCGGTCGAGGCTACCCGCTGCGTGAGAGCGAAGGGCAGACTTCGAAGCCCTTCGGCCAAAGGCAAAGTCTCTGACAAGAGCCCCATTCAAAATCAGAGTTCAGAACATCCACGATGTGGCAAATATTCACACCCCTCTGTGTGGCATAAGTACGAGCAGGGCATTAGCATCTCCACGACACGAGTCCTAACGGAAAAGAGCGATAAGGCCCGATTCGGAAGGTGTATATAAGAGTTTCAAGTTCAGTGACGGGCGTGCGTTGCGTGACGTCCATTTACTTGGCTACTGCCACACGTTTCAAGCTCAACCCCTTTGCCTCCAAAGTCCCATAATATATGAATATTTGAGTGCTCTTTTGTTTCAAGCAAGGTGGGAGCTGCTCCGCGAAGGCTGGTGTTTTGGGAGAACCGGCCCTCAGGTCGTGAGAGGACCAGTAGCGGCAATGGCATTGGTGACGTTAGCTTCTGGAACCACTCATGCAAGCACGTCCATCTCAAGTTGCGCTTACTCTACGTCAAGTTCTTCGGCAGATGTTGGCAGCATGACTTGTGGGGGGTCTCAGTGGCGATCCCCAGGTGGGCATGCCCCAAGCCTCAAGATTTGCTACAGCGGCCGCGTTTACGTTCGCTGTGGTGATGATCTCTTCTCAGCAGAGGCCCAAACAGCGGCAATTTTTTTTGCAAATCTTCCCACAGGGCGGGGATCCGTGTGCACGGTGATAGTTGATTATCCAATGCTCCTTCACTTTCATGCTTTCTGCTCGCCGCGATGCCCAACCCTCTTAGATCCCATGCCTGCATAAACCGACAAGCTTTAAGCTCTACGTGCTTGTGGTCAACTCAACCCCACACCCTGAGGGCGGGCCGAGTCGCTGCACGGCCTTTCGTTTGTGCACACGCGCCCTGCAGCTGGAGGACGTTGGAGCTTCCAGAAACCGCCTAATTTGGGTTGTGAAGCGAGTGATGATGTGGGGTTTGGTCTTAGACGGCCCGGATGGGCTTGGACGGTGCACACAACTGCGTAAGGAAAGCGCGCTCCAGGGCCTCGGTGCGTCCGACATCAAACACTTTGTTCCTTCTGGGGAACCGTAAGGTAAGGGCCCCTCGAGGAGTAGCTTCGAAAGTGCTGCCCGCATGTTTGCAGGACACCCTTTGCGGTGTGAACTTCACTCTGGAGCTGCAAAGCTCACCTCCGGGATTTTTCCTGTGCCCATGTGGCCATGGTGGCATTCATTTAGGGAAGTGGCGGGGTGGGGGGGCGGCGGATGCATTCATTGTAGCTGTTGGTTGGTCGGTGAAGACTATGCCGCATGAGCAGCAGGAAGGGATGCAGCTCTGGCTTTGGAAAGTAGCATTGTTGGCTGCTCCGTGCTGCTCAGCAAAGGCATTTCCCTACAGCTGACAAATGGCGAGGTGGCAGTCTTGCAAAAAACGCCTATCTTGAGGTTATGCTTCGATTCAGCCATCAGGTCAGAAACGGCATGTCACACAAGTGACCTCGTTAAATCACTCGAAAGACGGGCCAGCTCTGTTTGGCAATGTTTTGAAGCTGCTCACTCGGTAATGTGAGAATTCTTGCCACAACGATGTATATTCATTGAGACTCGCTGAAGAAGTCGGCTGTGCTACTCAACTCAGCATGCAGATGCCAGCCCGGCATTTCACCAACCATGCTTTACACTTACTTTGTCAGAGAATGCGCATTGGGATTCCGACACTTAGACTCAAACAAGTCTGCAGCCTTCCCAAGACTTGGCCCCCTAGACCTTCAGACAGCAATGTCGTTAATCGCCCAGTTTGGGAGTGCTGTGGTCATGCGATATGTACACTTATTATAAGTTTACATGCACCATGTTATCGTTTTCGGGTTAAAACCAGTACAACTTCCCACTGGTAGTATAAATCTGCTCTAACCCGCGTAGTTCTAATTGGATTATGATGACAGCAGTCTGCAACGTCTTTTTGGCTCCTTGTTCACCTCGGAGGTGGGTCTCGTCGGAGATCGATTCGGTCCTGTTCAGCCTCCACAAGACTTCCTCCTGGACTTTTCCATCTTGGACATAGGCCGATAGGCCTTAGTAGTAGGGTTTTAGGTGTCGGGTTTAGGGCCAAGGTTTAGGTTTGATGCATTTTTGGCATAGGCCACAGGTGAACCATGTGCCTCAAAGGGCCCGTCTTTTGTTGACCAGACTCTTAGCATGTAGGAATATATAACATTTCTGAAAGAAGAATGGCCGAGCACCTTTAACTGGCCAGCTGAGCTGGTCCGTTGCCTTCACTCGCCGTGCTCCGCATCGGTTTCCAGAGTTCGAATGCACAAACAGGAAAGTCGCTGGGCCAGACTGTCCCAAAGCTCGCCCCGAGACTTTCGTCATAGAGAAGCTTCAATACCTCTCACAGTCTCCGTTACCTCGAGGTGGCCAGGATGTGCAGATGGACCCTTGGCAACATTTGCGGCTCTCTAGACCCGGGACTCGTATCAGTAGGTCTGAGCAGCATCTGCAGCTGCAAGTTCCCCACTTGTTGGTGCTTCGGGGTGAAGGGCTCGTGCCATGGAAGCTTTGTTTTAGGCTCTTTAAGTCTCGAGGGTGAATCACGACGTTCGTTGTGGCCGGTCCGGAAGAGTTCAATATTCTCAAGGTCAAGACGTTACAAAACGTTCCATGCATTCCTTTACCCTCGATGTAAACGGATACCAATCAATCGGAAGCCGCCATGTCCTTTTCGCAGCAACCGTCCGCTCGAGGAGACACGAAACCCGACAAGAAGTCGCATTGTGGACAAATGTTGGAAGAGTTGGCAACATTGTGCAACACTGTCCTGCGAGAGGAGCTTAGAGTCCGGGTCAGATGCCACTAGATTCACTAGATCGTGTTCCTCTATTGTAAGCACTGCTGACCAGTTTGGGCTGGAGAGACCGCATAATCGGCTGCATTCTTGCACGCCGCCAGTCAAAACGTCTTTGGCCGTACTGATCCCAACTCACGAAGTCCCATCCACTTGAGATGTGGAAGTTTCACATTCAAGGACGTCATCCTCCGCGGGCTCACGGAAAACGTCATCCCAGGATCCCAGGCGCAGCTCACTTTGCCTCTCCTTGTACGACTGTTGGGTGTTCGGGACCGGGATCCGAAATGGTTTTTCTCCCCTGGCTTCGTGAGAGCTCAAGTCATTGAGCTGTTCATGTGAGACGCGCACATGCTGATCATGTAGGTCGCTCTCAACCGGCACGGAGCATGGACACTCCGCACCCGCAGCTGAGCTTAAGTGGTGCGGGGTCTCGGGCATGTGGCGGAATTACGAGCGCATGTACTAACTTAAGTACAAATCTGCTAAGGTTTGCAGGACTACACGACCTTCAACAACTCCCTTCCCTACTGCGCCTTCTTGGGCGCCTCAGAGCTTTGGGCCGAAGGTCCCGGAGGCTCTGAGGGCTCTGGCGCCTTCCTTCAAAACCTCGCCAAGGGCTCAGCCCAGAGCACAGCGAAAAAATCTCGGGGGGGTCCCTAGACTCCTAGACTCTGGCATTCGGAGACTAGGGTCTGCAGTGGGCTTGCTGCGTGTGTAGAAGTTTAGATGGCACGCGCGCCCAATCAAGGGGCCAATGCAGTCTTTTTTAGCCTGCACCCGAAGATTGTGTTTTTTTTCCGCCACTTCACGCGAACTATGTCTCGACATCAGAAGCTACAGTCCAGTTTCGTGTGCGAAAAAGACAGAAACCTGCACTCAGAGCCCTCCCAAGGTTGTCAGCGAGGAGCCTGTGCTCACTGAACACCCGCCTGCAGAGACCTTAGACGTGGGGGGTTTCTGGGAAGACAGCGGATCTGAACTTTTCTTTTGCCTCTGAAGCTAATCCGAGTCAACTTCGGGGAGATGTAAAATAACCCGGTGCGATGCTGTGGTACTTCTATGCTGTATCTCAGGTTTGACTGAGTAGTTGACTGTTAGGCACTCCCATTGGGTTGGGCTAGAGCCGTGATTGTGGAGGTTTCAGGTTCTCTGTGAGATCGCCCCGCGAGCACAAGGAGGTCCTAGAAGAAGTCAGTGGGACCAGAGCTGGGGTCTCAATTTTCTTTTTGCATCCCTCCCAGGTCTCCTTCAAGTGGTGGGCGAAGCTGGAAGGGTGCCCGGGTTTGCACATGGCTCCTTCGTTCAAGTTGCTAGAGGCTGCGGCTGGTTACACTTCATTGATGGACCAGCTTTCTCCCTGCAGGGCATCGGACTGGGGCCGACTTCTCTTTGAGGCGGGTACGGTGTATGCTCTGTCTGGCCAAGACAGGACAATTGACTTCTGCGTTTAGATAGCTGCAATTGTAGACTTCATGTCTGAACATTCGCTCGATGCCCCCCAAAACCAACACTCTGCATTCCTTTCCTCGAACTCTCTCGGTCAAGCACGGAGCATGCTCTTAGCAGCCTGCCATATGGAATATACCCATTGAAACAGGGCCTCGATGCGAGGAGTCTGCTCCATGAGGCCGGAACGGGGTTCGTCCTTTTCGATTCGGTCCACAGTTGCGGTCCGGATGCTTGGAGAAAAGCGCATAAACTCAGTGTCACATTCAAGTGCGCACCGAGCAGGCCAGCTTCGGCAGCGAGCCGCTGGTGGACTCTTGGCAAACTGGGCTTGGGTAGCTGAACTACTGCTTGCATTGTGGTTTTCCCCTTTGCTCCTTCAGCTTCATTGCTGGATGAAGCTGCGATAACATGGTCAGACTTCTCAGAATCACTGTCCGCACATGGCTGTCCGCAGATGGCTGCTGTCTTCCAAATGCTTTAATTACATCAGCATTTCAACTGGCGAGGCTCATGTTACTACAATGTGTGCCTCATGTTTGAGTGACCTTGCCCTCCAATTTGTCAGACGAGGCCTCCAAAGCCGCAGACTTCTGGCATCACAAGGCCGTGAATTTTGCCAGACACACATGCAACCTCATGCCAACCCTAGCGAGTCCTCACAGGTCCTGAGTCCCTCTTCCTAAGTTGTCAGTGCTGAAGCCGCTTTTCAGTCTCAGTGGCGGCATCCTTTTGCGTGTGCAGGTCTACGACATGGCGGTCGGGCGTGTGTCCCCCAGGACGGTCCCAGAGAAGCTGGCAGGTGAGTGCCTGGGATGGAATCTGCTCTATAAGAGCGACCTTCTGAGAAGTAGGGCATGCAATAGCAGCAAGGCTTGTCATCCGCAGGGTCTACACAGTCGCTTGTTGTGCATGTTGCCACTGTCTTGCACGTTTTACGATGATGGCGGTGGCGGAACTGCTGGTTATTCGTTTTCCACGACAAGAGGGAGAGGTTCCAGCCACGGGGCCTTACTTCGATGCCGAAGCCAAAGCCAGAAAGTGCAGAGACTGTATGTAGACGCGCAGGTTTGCACACTAAGCCCCACTGACAGAAGCGAAGAGATGCCGTTGCAAAGCACCAAGAAGTAGAGACGAGAAAACACACTAGTAATTGAATTTGTTATTCCGTTGTTGCAGTCCGAAGTGTTGGCTACCCCTCAAGCAGTCAAGCAGCTGAGGTTCTGGCTCTCCAAGCAGGCAATGAACGTCGAACCGATGTACTTGCATTGCCAGGCTGGAGAAGTGAGCCAAAGCGAAGCATACGCCTCACGAGAGAAAACCGTCTCGTCCAAGTACCACCCTTGGCTTCATTTCCCGCTTGCCCGGCCGAACAGTTAAGACTCAATGCGGCTGCAGGTAGCCCTTGCTCAGGCGTTGGAGAGTTGCAGCCTGGCTGCCTGAGACGACGCAAGCTTTCCACGGTGGAGATTTAGGGATGCGGGACTGTTGAGGTTTTTTGTGCTTCATTGAACAGGTTTCAGACTGTCGGGACATTCACGGACGTTTATTTTAGTCGTATCATGCAGACGCAAGCACCTGGAGCATCATGCTCGACTTCCGGCCTATTGTAGTACTCCTGTGTCCTGTACAGACGAAATTTCTGAGGGTTCCTTGCACTAGAGCCACCCCCCCTGAAAGCCCAAGATCGGCTTCGACTGCTACATTGCAAGCACCAAGCTCCTCCGAATCACAGGGGAAAGTGGGTCCGAGTTGCGAGCCTCCCCAGCAGGTATTATGCTTCGCTTCAGCTGTGCCCAAGACGTTCTCCAGTCGCTGCAGCTTGGCCGTGCCAGACCGGCCGCACCAATCCCCAGCTTCCTGGCCGAAATGCCGTTGATTCCTCTTTTGGCGACAATGCGATTGCAGGAAAGAGAGGTTGTCGGGCTGGGTCACTGTGGGCAGAGCTACAGTACTGCAGGGAGGAGATTCTCAGATTCGCAGTTGTTTCAGGCAGAGGCGTCGTCTTCGGCATCGAGCAGGACGGATAAGGGTTGGGTGGATTTGGGTGGTGGGCTTCGAGTTGCCTACATGTTTTCCCTGCAGAAGACATCTGGGTGCAAGATTCACATGAAAAAAGCGCATGGAGCCAGGACCCTCGCAACGCAAGGCTGGTGCGGATGTTCATTGAGTATCGCAACGAGATCGTCGCAGATATGGTGCCTTCCCACAAGTCAATGCAGCCACTAACCAGTCCGCATGATCAGTTCACTCCTCCACTGCTTCCCTCAGAACGCCCCTGGCGCTTGCAAGCCACGTAGCCGACACCGAACTTGCACGCAAAAACGATTGGATGCAGACTTATGGTTCTTCGAAAGATCATCAACTGTCCGGCACGAAGCTGCACCTGTCCTTGGCCTCGAAACGCAGCATGCAAGTGCCTCACTTTTTGTAGCATTTGGGCTTTGCAGGTGCTCTGTGAGGTCTTCGAGGAGAGGGATGAGGCGTCTTGTTTTCTGCGACTTGCGTAGAAGAGCGGCTTAGGCAGTAGGTACAGATGAAAGTCCAAACGGATGTGTACGGGACGGTCAGCGCTACGACGAAGATTTAGTGCCTGGGGCAGTTTCAGCAGCCTACTGGCTTCAAAGACAGCACTTGAAGAACCTAAAACCCGACATGCCTGAACCGCAAAATGAAAAAAAAAGCACCCTGGCGACAGGCACGCAGCATCCGAGTCCACCAGGAGTCCTGGCTGGGGTGTCGGGACGCGCAGGGGTTTCCCTCCAACTGCATCTTCCTAGTGGCTTGTTGCACAGGTCGCCATTTCTTGACGGTTGGGTTTGGTCATCTTTTGCAGCAGCGTGGCCCTCCAACGGACATCAAGCTTGTGCTGCGTTCATGAGCCTTTCGCTTTCTTTCGTCTTTCGATAGAAATCAAAGGCTTGAAGACCTACTGTAACTGTATCGGGTCGCAGGTTTCTTCACATTGACAGATTGACGGTTGCTTCCGCCAAGTGTTAAACCCAGGCTTTCATGTTCTTGCTTCAGAACAGGGGCCGCGGCGTGTTGATTGGATTGGATGTTTGAAACAGCCAGTGGCCCCGGAAGTAACAAGGCATCAGCTTCATTGCATGATTACACGAAAATACATGTTCATCCAACTTCTGCACGACCTCGATTCAGGAGATTTTCGATGGACTTGTCACTGAGCCGCAATGTGTATGTATGCGAGCGACACCTGGGCTGCTGTAAAGCATGAAGTTGGCAAAGGACATCCTGCTTTTCCGGGTCACCCTCTTCCGTGCCAACGGTGACCACCAGGCAGAGAGCAGGGGCTCCCGCGCAAGAGACCGACTGCCGCGAGGAAACTCCTCCACAAACAAAATGAGCATAATGCCACTCTTCCTCCTCTTTTTCTCCAACTTATCGTCGTCGTCCGAAAGTAAGACCCCCAAAAAGACGTCAAGACGTCGTTATGCTTTGGCATTTCCGTCCGACCCGGAGAAGTATTCGCGACAAGACTGCCAATGTCGATAATCTTTCTTTATCTAGCGAAGACAGCTAAGAGGAATGGTGACTGCTGCAGTGACAACTGCCAAGAGATCCAAGAGTCATGTCAAACGCCTCGGGCAGGTGGCCAGCCTGAAGTTGCGTAATGAGCAGCTCGAGGAGGGCGCTTCTTGTGGTGAAAGTTGCTTTGGATGTGCAGTTGACCAGCCAGAGAGAGAGACAGAGAGAGAGAGAGAGAGAGAGAGAGAGACAGAACAGAGCGCGCGGGCAAGGGGAGTAATCCTCTTGCCCATAGCCCTGCCGAAAGAAAGAGAGAACAGAGAACCAGAAACAGAAAGGTACATGGACCATGGACCTCCTGAAGCACAAAGTGGAATCAGGGGTTCTCTAGATTTGCTGTTCACGCCGTGCATCCATTGTTGAGGAGTTTGACATGTCTCCCACGAGGCGCGCCGTGTGAGACAGCACATGAAGCCTAGGTCATACGGCTGTTGAGATCGCTTGACTTAGTGTAAAAGCACCGACCACATGCAGGACACTTGAAGGCAGTTTGTCAGGTGGCTTCCACGTAAGCTCCAGCCACAGGCACCTCCACTCCTTCGAGGAGCCGTCATGGCGGTTTCCAATTTCGCCCTTGGCCAAGCGCTGCTTTGTTGCAAAAGGCTTCCAGTTTCAGGTCCTGGGTTTCAGCTTTTTCTACGCCTTTCTAGGCCCGGCACATGCTTGGGCTTGACATGGCAGGACCAGGCTTCAGGGCCTGGCTTGTGCAAAAGTTCGCTGCACAGGAATGTCAACAACGCCTGGCTCACGACTGTTCATTTACACCGGCGTGCCCTATATCCCTGTCGAGGTCCGAGCCATGCCCATCCATCACATTGACACAGTGCCGTTGCCGTGCTTCGGGGAAAAACTTCCACTGAAGGTGTTGCTTGAAATGCCCGAGTCTGGGACCGTTCTAAATGCAAGTTAAGCGGTTTCCGGATGATTTGTGAGTCGTGTCTGCATGCCACGAATGTCCTACTGTACACAATTAGTCGGGCAACCGAAGAACAATGGGAGTAGATAATAATTTGAAGAAGGTGTGCCCTGATCATGCTTCTACACATCTTCGTCTCTAAGCACACCGCCTTGATATGTCCACCACATTCAACGTGAAAGACCATGGACCATCGACACGCGAGGCAAAATGCAACGGCGAAGGCTCGGAAGCACCGAGGCTGGCGGCTGGCGGATCTACAGAGCTCGATTTAGTGTTTTGAGATGGTGCTGGGTCGTGTCCCCGAGTTGTTGAAGTCTTGGTTTGCAGCATGGTAGTTATGGACTCCCTCGGGGCTGGGGCATGTTTACGCTTGCTACCTGTCTCATGTTGTGTTGAGATTCAGTTTGGAGGTTCGTCGGGGGAGTTGTTCTTGCCCTAGCTCTGATTGAGCTGTCTTTTTAAGGCGTGTCCTAGAACGAAAGGGGCCAGTTGGCCCGTGAACGCAGCTGGACAGACATGACGGTCACATTTCCTTACTTACTCATAGTTTGTTGTACGGCATGGTCGTAGCTGATCTTAGCAGTGTTGCGCGGCCTGTGTGCAAATTTGGTGTAGCACGCAGGCGCACAGCTCAACGTCCTCTGTTGTGAATCAGCAAGCGTTGGAAGTGCCATATAGGGAGTGCCTAATAACGCTTTTTTCGTTTTCTCTCAGCTCGATTGACTGGGGCCTAGGCCTCCCAGCAGCGGCAGCATGATGGAGCCCGAGACCGGACTTGCCGAGGCTGCGCTCTGGGACAGCCAGCGACATGGCCAGTCAGAGCATTGAACTCAAAGTTCGGAGGGAATCTGGTGAGGTTGGCCGCAGCAGACCTGGATGTAGGGGCAACTGCTTGATCGAAGGTTCCATGTTCATAGAAGGAGGCACATATCAATGAACAGCCCTGCAAGCACTGCTGAAGGGCAGCACCCGCCGCCACACACCGAGTTCATACTCGAGACTTCGCCGAAGCCCTGGTAATTGTCCGGAGGCGCAGCTGTGGAAGCGACCACTCATCGAATCCGTTTCCTTGGCTGCACAAAATGTTTTGTCACGAAGTCTAGTGACAGTGATGCACACATTCTCCTCAAGCAGGTGCCTGCAGGATCCTGCAGGTGTCGCAGATTTCTTTCACAACTTGCTAAATGGCCTTGTCTAGCATGTGCGTGCAGGTCATGTTTCGTCGTGCAAAAGCCAATCCAGTACTTAGTGACTTGGTAGTCTCCCAAAGCCGTGCGTGTCAGGTAGTGGTGGTTGGCGACTTTTGTGATCCTCTACGACGGCCAGTCCACTGAGACAGCGAGAAGGGGGTTAGGCGCCAGAATGTCAGAAGCAAAGATCCTTCTGGCATACTCTCCGAGAGCCCGAAAGTGGACATAGCGTGCACGAGCATGCGGTGTGGGACTGGCATCAGGATCCTAGGAGCCGTCATAGCCAGAAGTTTCGCCGGCAGCAGAAACCCCACACATACGAAGACTAGTCGTGCTGCTTGTCATTGATTGGCTGCGGATTGGAAAAGGAACACATATCAGCCTGAAACTCAGTAGCTTCGTAGCATGGGTTGATTGCGACCTAATAATCGAACAATGTTTGTGTTGACGATGAAGGTTATGTGGTTCTTGCCGAATGATCCGTCATCGCTTGTCGTGCAAAGTTCGGCAGTTGACGTCAAGACAGGAGTTATGGGGTCTCACACTCCCAATCTTTTGAGTGATGTTCAAAGCCCTCCGCACCTACTCTATGACTTCGATAGATCTAACGGCAGCGAGACTGAGAGTCAGTGGCTAAGCTCTCCGGACCCCCGAGGTCCAGTGAGTTCACACCTGCCAGAACCCCGAGGCAGGGAACCTCCATGCAGGCTTCTGTTGTTCTGGGTTCTGATGTGCATAGATCCGGGAGGATTCGGACGGGTCAGCATCGATTCGGGTGCTGAATGTATAGCGCTTTCTTGAGGAAGCATAGAAGCACAGCACGTGCATCATGTGCATCTCCAGGGTTCTTAGTTCGAGGCGACTCGTTTCTGTTGGCTTTGGCTCAGGTCCTCCATGCCATCCAGGCCCCCAACGCGCAGAATCCAGGTGCCACCCAATTTTGCTGCAGGGACTTGAACGGAGCTTCCGGGACATTGAACGCTTCAAATTGCCAAGCGATCTAAGGCGTGTCGAAGAATCTTGAGCCTGGCTCAACCCGCAGCTTGCGCATGATATTTGCAATGCATTTTGGTTAACGGGCGGAACTAGGAGCATACCAGCGGTTACATGCGCTGAGTTCGAAGCTGTCGACTGTCCTGAATAAGCAACTCTGAGCTGAAAAACATGCACGGAAACCACCCACCTTCGCCTCGAAGCCGCAAGCCTCAAACCGGGCTTCATGGTGCCCTACCATTTGGGGAGGGCTGGCGCTGGAGCCTCGGCTTGGACAGGGAAGCTAACTCAGAGGGCTTCGGGGACTCTCCCAAGCCAGGAGATGCCAGGAGTCCCTGTGCGATGTTCGAAGCACTTCTGTGCCCTTTCGGTGACATTGTGACCACGGTATTCCAAGGATGCTGGCCTAAAGCCCTGCTGCTGCGCTGGCAGCCCTTCTGGCCTCACCGCAGACGGCCTCCAAGCTTCATTGAGTTGGGGCTTCGGAGCTCCAGTGGTTTAAGGCTATCTGAAACGCTCAGAAGAAGAGGCCAGCAGAAGCCAGCATTCCGCTTTCTCCGAGGATGGCTATGGCTTGTGGATACAGCAGCTGTGCCCCGACCGGTGCAGAGCCGAAGGAGGACAGAACAAGCTTCTTGTTTTCCCTGGCTTAGTTCCGTCCGTCTGGTATGCTTGCATGTAGTGTTTTGGTACTAGGCTGGCAGGCAGGCAGGCAGCGAGGTTTTTTGTGTGCAGACTCTGACCGAAGCGCAGTTGAAGCTGACACCGCCCCGATTCAGAAAGCGGCCACACCCTGAAGGCCCCTTCCTGCAATCATGCGGAGCCGTAGAAAAACTGGGAATGCCTTGCAACCAGACGTTCGCTCCGGTTCGCACGGAACATAAGCACAAGCTTGTTACAGGGAATTAGCTCAGTTACAAGAGGGTTCCCTACGCGGATTGTTACCCATTATTTATTAGGTGCTTTTGGTGCCTCTGTGGGAGTATTGATCATTCATTTGGTCAAGGTGTTTTGATAGCAGGTGTAAGCATTCGGAAACATTAGGGAACGCCAGTAAATATCAGAAAACTTAAAAGGATAAAATACAATCCCACCCACTGTTCACCCAAAGGCTGCGTGTGCGCACTGGAACTGACAGCAAGGGCGAGGCGTTTACAAGGAAGTCACGCAAAGAACAACATTTTCTTCAGCTAACAGCCGACCAGAAGACAGCCACTGGGACATGCCCTCCAGGACGAATCGTAGAACGAATATTTTTCGGCTAACAACCGGCGAAAACAAGGCAATGGGACAGGCTTTCTGGGCCGAAGCGACCAGAAATAGATTTTTCTTCAGCTAACAACCGACCAGAAAAACGCAACTGGGACAGGTTCTCACAATTTGGTTAACAGATGTCACAAAACCAAGGTTACATTTCTCGGAAGCTGAAAAGTTTGTTCATTCAAGTTTGTGTTTCTTCGCCCAGGGCTTTCCCGACCCAAAAGTACAAACTTTCTTGAAAGGATCTCCAGAGCATAACAAGAGATGGTCACATATAAGAAAAATGTGGAAAAAGATGGAGAAAGCTCATGAAAGCCTATCAACACAGAAGAACACAGGAAATGTCTTGGTTAGTTTCTTCAAAAAAGGAGGCCCCAAGTGCAGTGGAGAGCTTGAGGAGTAATACTGAATGAAAAAGTTTCTTTTGTAATTACTTGATGTTCATGGTTGCCACCCTGCGGCTGGAACAATTGGTGTAATCTGAAGCCTCAAGGCAAGCTGTTTAGCGGCCAGATCAAGCGAAGATTCCATGTACAAAACCTCAGCTTCAAGCCAGGTTCGGTGTCCGCCAATTGTCCCCGCCATGTGCCAGAATCCGACGCAGTACCGCCAAAGAGCCGGACTAATTCGACAAAAAAGCAATGGACACTTCTAAAACAAGCGGTAAAATCAGCAAGCAACTTGCGGAGAAAAATCGCCTAACATCAGAAGCAACTCAGAAAGTTTAGAGAAACTCTGAAAAGATTGGAAAAGTAGGAAATGCTAGAAAACAACTAGGAACACATAATAAATACAAAAAACCGTAAATTTAGGAACAACTAAAAATAGGGACAACACCAAAAACAACCAGATGAACGTTGAAGAAAATAGAAAACATCAAGCAGATCAAGCATAGTTTCACTTGTCCTGTTTTTTCGTTGTCGCAAATGATTCTCAGAGTGACATGCTGCACGATATTGGCGTGGCCAGTCTCCTGTTCGGACTTGGTTGTGTTCGGCTCCAGTTTTGCTCATTACGGCGAAGAAAGCAAAAGTCGGTGGACAAGAGCCTAGAGTACCTCACGGCCACACCGCCTGGACTGCAAGCCCGAGCGGTCCTTTTTCAGGTTGTCGGCATGTTTCTGGTGTTGTTCTGATTTGATTGGTAGTGTTAGTGTGAGTGCTGTCGCAGTGCACAGCCCCCTTGCCATTTGCGACTTCATCCTCGCCTACGGCTGGGCATGCCTTGGGTCTGCTGTCAGAAATGTTTCCGCTCAGCCATCGCATCAGCGGGGCCCGTGGTCTAATGTCCGGCTCTGCGCTCGAAACCAAGATTTAAAATCCCCTCAACTGACCAGGGGACTTCAGACCCCGAGCCTGAGCAGAAAACGGCCTGGGGTCTGAATTGCCGGGAGGTGGCAATCCAGACCTTTCAACTGGCAATCCAGACCCCCGCTAAATTGCCGCTAAATGTCGCCTCCGAGCCTCTAAAAAAACGTAGCGGAATCCTGTCACCGTAAATCACCATAGCTGCAAAGATCCATAGCACAGGCGTACTGCTCCGTAGCGCTGCTGATTCTGATGCCAAGTCGTCGTATGTTACGCTCCTACTGCAGCTTAGCCATGAGCCGAAGGTCTGGATTAGGAAGTTAGGCGAAGGTCTGAATGGCCCGGCGGGCATCCTGACCCACACCCTGTGAAATCGCAATCCAGACCCCCCAAAAAGGTCTGGATCGCATGTTTGCGGGGCAGACCCCCCATAGCCTGAGGGGATGATTTAAATAGGTTTGTGTTTCGGAATGCCGATGTCAAGCATCTCGTCAACTGAGCTGCGATGCGAGGAATTGCCGACGGCGAATCAAGCCATGCCTTCTGCAAGCAAAGTCTCCTGGGTGGTGGCATTGAAAGCAGCACTGACACTTGACAACTATTGAGTTGCTTTGAGCTGCATTTCCACTTTGGACTCGCCTTTGCATTGTCTAATTTCGCGACTAGCTGCTGCTGCAAGACTGGTTCGCAGGGTTGGTATCCCGATACAGTATCGTATGCCGGTACAGCATAGAGTTTGCAGATGGATTTTGAGCTCAGGGCTTCGTGAAGTTACGTGAGCCACCAAATTAAGGAATCACGGTGGTACCCGACGCCCAAAGCGCTGGCGCCGGGAAGCCAAGCGTAAGTGGCTCGGCCGTTCAGAGGTGACTGCTAGCTGCTAGTAGTAGGTCATTGGAGGATTTGAGCAGCCAGAGGCCAGCAGAGCGTCCCAAGAGACGGAGCCAGCAAGCCATGTCAATGTGCAGGCGTAGTCCAAGAAACACGGGCTTAGAGCCAGACGCGGCATCAGGCTGCTCGGTTCACGCTGTGTGAGACAAGTTGTCTCCAACAGGTTGTTGTCCAATCTAATGTGTTTGTTTGGGTTGTCATTTCTGCGATCTTGCCCATGGTCGGGGATGGAGTGTCCCAGCACCACCGCAAAGCTTGCCCGGTATCCATCTTTCCCTCCTTCCCGTCTGTCAGCACCTCCAAAGTAAAGAGCGCAGTCGATCTAGCGACCTTATGACGTACAGCTGCCCCTGAATCTGAAAACCTGGCAGTCGATGAGGCAGCTGCAGCTGGCCACTGTCGACCCTGACACACTGGCACCTTCCGTTCGGATTTCGGGTCGCAAGAGGATATCGTCAATACTATTTTCGACGAGTTCTGGATGAGGAACTTGTATGTATGTATGTATGTATGTATGCATGCATGCATGTATGTATGTATGTATGTACACATGTATGTATGTTTGTCTGTATGTCTGTCTGTATGTCTGTATGTCTGTATGTCTGTATGTATGTATGTATGTATGTATGTAAGTATGTATGTATGTACGCATGTATGTACATACATGTGTGCATGTACAAGAACTCGTAAATACAAATATGCATAAGCATAAGCATTCACGAACGCAAGCGCACGCCTCTACACACACATTCACATACATAAACAGTTAAACATGTACATATACTCTTACACATCTTCATCTCGAACGCCTATACTTACTCTAAGTCCGACATGTACCTATAGGGAGAGAGATCAGATAGAGAGGCAGACGTCCTTTGTGCGAGTTGTGAGGACTGTGGTCTTCCGCGGCTTCCTCCGGTCTGACCACCTGGCGTCTGCAGCGGCGATGTCCGCTCCGGCCGATGGGAGCGACTCCGAGGAGGTAACATACAGAAAGAAATAAAATGATATTCATTTATCCACTTGTTTGTTACCGCCCTTCCCGAGACCCGCCTCAAAGCGAATGAACCACATGATGCCAAATGCAAACAATGACAAACTCATGTCTGGCATGGTGAATATCGGATGGGAAGCCGTGGGAGAGCCTTCGAGCTGTTTCTCCCAGGAGAGCCTCGCAGGTGGGCCGTCGCCTGAGGCCGAAGTCGTGCAGGGTCCGTCTCTGGACTTGCTCAGATCTGGGTTCGCAGATGGGGCATATGAGTCACGAACCGGTCGGGATTGATGCGAGAGGTCACTAGCACTCCTTACGGTACTTGTGCAACCATGTACATCCGTTGCCAGGGCTCCCGTGACAGTTGCATCATCATCCTGGTCACAGACTCGCGATCTCAGAAAGTGCGCCATGCACGGGCGAGTTTTCCAAAGGCGCCTGTGGAAATATGCGGCTTGGATGTTGAAGCAGCATTTGTGTGGCTTTTAGCCTGCCGCATGCCAGCATGTCAGGTCAGTTTGAATCACGAATGCCTGCGGGGTTGACGTTGATGTCTTCGCCCTGGTGATGGTTTTTCTTCATGATGTACGTTCAGAATGAATGAACTCTCTGCCAGCCGCGAGGTTGGTGGCTGGACGAGGCGGCTGTGCAGTTCCGAATAGCGGGACGGGCGCTGGTGGTAGATCACAGCACCGCCGATTCCCAGCTTTGTGCGGTTCGTGCAGCTGTGTGGAACCGATTGATCCTCGGCGTCGCCGTCCCATTGAAAAACTAACTCGTAACTAAGCCAACCAAGCCAACAGTCCGGCTCACCCTGGACCCCGCCACCGGCAAGTCCCTGTCAGTATGCCGGCATGGCTTGGAATGCTGCCCCTCTCAAGTTGTTCTGCTCACGGCTTTCCGACATTGCAGGGGCTCCGGTTGTGCTGGGCCCCATTGCGAGCAGTTGCTTCTTCCCTGAAGCAGAGCATGAACAATTAAGTAAGACGAGCGGCCAAGCCTTGACATGCCAGACATTCCATTAAAATGAACGGCCCAAAGGATCCCAAAGGATCCCAAGGGTAACCTAACCCACAGATGCCTTTTTAGCCAAGGAGAGCTTCGACGCGTGAGACCTTCCGCTGGCCAGAGCCAGGACAACCTCGCGACGATGTTGTCGTCTCCAATCCAGGCGTTCTGGGGATGAGATGAGAAAGTGTTTAGCGCTAATTACCAAGCGGATTTGTAGGGTTGGGTTTGTGATGCAGCAGCAGCAGCAGCCCGACAGAAGAATCGCCCTCTTCATGGCATTATGGTGGTTAAGACAGACTGCCTTGGTCGTTTACGAAGCAGACAAGAGAGAGGAAGTTGCCTGCACCGCCTAAGCCGTGGTTTCGCGTTTATGTCATGACGTCAGTACCTAAAAGCCTCAAAGGTAGCTGTCAGGCTATCTATGTGTCTCCAGACATTCAGGGGCTTCACTGCGACACTGCATGACATCTCACTCTATACATGGATCTTTCAAATGGGTAATTAGCTCTGTAGAGTCCAACGCGCTGCGTTCTGCAGCTTGCTGGCCGATGGGGGTGTGCAACATGCCTTCACCTCCAGGCTCAACGAACTTGCTTGCCTTTTCATGAGACCAACCCACATGACAAAACTGAGCTGAGCCTGATAACTCCGGCCATGGCCTGTCGCCAACTTGTCCTCGCATCCCAGAAGTTGTTCAAGATTGGAGGTGAGCTGCGGATGGAGGATGCTCACTTTGCCGCCTCTCCCCTGTAAACTGGTTTTAGATGTAGCGTGCAAATGTTCGACTTGTTGACAACCGGTGAGAATTGTGAATTTCACACAACAGGTGCTACTGCAGGGCGATACTTCGTCGATATGTTTCCGTGATGCGACAGCCGGGATTTGGATTCTTCAAGACATGGTGCATGCCAAAGCGTACCCACTTGCAGACTTACACATGGCCGATCGCATGTCATGGGCCCTTGCAACGTCATCAAGTGCAAGACGACAAAATAATAAGCAACAAGAAGAGTTTCAATTGCCGCAGATGTTCATCATGATCCTGCTGATGATGGCGACAATGCTGGCAAACTTGATAAGGATAGCAAAAACGACACGATCACCCTGCAGTGTTTCGGAATTACTAGGCATTGGAAAGTCGGAACATGGCTCGAATTTCGACGGCGCAGGAAGGATGATGCCAAGTATAGTGTTATTACTAGCGGTTTTGCAAGACTGAAAGAGGACAATGAACACAACGCAGAAACGTCGCAATCACACCAGGTCAGAAGTTTGAAACAGCAAAGTTAATAGTGTGAGGGTAGCGGCGCATGTCGAATGCTGACACCTATTTTTTGTCAGACAGCGATGTGACGGACTTAAACGGACTCAGCAAAGGTCTTTCTGGTGCTTCCGAGCACCGTCGACGAGCTGCAGTTGGGTGGCCGGCAGCGTCGCCGGATCCACAAAACTGCGGCCGAGCTGAGATCTAGATTTTGATAGGAAAGCTTTCTGTCGACCTGTGAAAGCTTTGGAGTTCTTCATGGGATGATGTTTGTTCGTTCGGGCTGAGCGGCAGGCTGAGCTAGCCGATGCTTCCGATTCAAGACGTAAGCAAGTTCCAGCTGCATCACACATAGGACCTGTCAAGCAGAAGCAAGAAAGACCGTGACCGGTGACCACAGGCTGTGGTGCCGACTCACCGCGGCATGGAAGCTAGCAGCATCTTTGAATCTCCACCCTGACCTTCGGTTTGGTTTGTAGGATTCCCACCAAGCAAGTACAGTAGCTCGCATGTCTCGCTGCCGGCTGCTGCAAAGACAACTGACCGACACAACGAACAAGGGAACAAAGAACCCAGGTGCTGGGCTCCAGCTGACACCATCGACAGTAATGGAAAGCTCTCCAATAAGAGATCCCTCGTAGCTCTACTTCGTGGCTTGAGTGCTTTGTCATTTGGGTGCATGAAGCCGGGACTTGCTGGTTCTGAGCATTGGCTGTGTGGGACTGACGAGATGTGCTGGAATGTCTTGAGGCACCGCTGCCAGAGGACCGGTGGTGGGGGAGAGTCTGGTTTCCGCAACATTTCGCAGACAGCCTGCGCTATGTCCTGCCTTGAAAACATCTGAGAACACATGCTTGGGCAAGGCAGTGACATCTTGGCATCTTGCACGCAGCATTGTCATTATTGTATCGACTTGTGTGGATCTCAGGATCAATGGCAGCTCCCCTTCGCAGATCTGTTCGAGCAAGTTCTGAGTCAAAACTGGGAGGTAGCGGATGTGAATCCATGATGTCGGTCCCGGCCGAAACACTGCAGCAACGCCCGAGAGCCCGAATTCATCACAAGTTTGGGTGTCTTCAAGCCTCAGGCAACGAGACATAGAGCACGGCCAAAGTCTTAGCCTGTGCTGAAAGATGATTCGAGTCCCGAAAAGCAGACGGACGTGGATCCCCGAGAATCCAAAATCTAGACTGCTGCAAAAAGATGAGACAGTCGTTTGAGGATTTTGCAAAGTCTGCACCGCACGAACCCACGTCGAGAACCACGCAGCTACGTATGGCCATGTAATCCCGAATTAGTCGGCTTCCGGTTCGGCGTAGTCGGCAGGGCTGCTACAGACACCAAGCATCAGAAACTCCAAGCTTGGACTTGGTAGTAGATCTTAAACATGCAGGCTCTGGACCAGGACCTGTGGCACGTGCCTCAGAGCCTCAGAGCATGCCAAGCCGCCAGAGGCTGGTAAACGAAGACCTGTGACCCCTCGTGCTGAATCTGGTTATGACGAGCTCATAGAGACACATGGAGCCAAGAATAAAGTGTGCGGGCTGCGGAACTTCAGGCAGATAGACTCCACGCTATAGTCACATCGATCACCGCAGACAACATGAGTACTGGTAGTCGCATGAATGGCAACAGCATTCCCGTCCTTTCTGTTGTTCTGCTTCACAGAGGCACAGCCGGCCGACAACCCACTGTTCCGTGCTGCACGCGAGGAACACCCGACAAGTGCTCGAGTCTTTCTTGGGATGAATAAACTTGTGCATAGGTCAATACATGAAGTATGGTGGCGATTACTGCCTTTATCTCGGAAGGCTTTCAAGTTTGGGCATACTCTCGCGTGCTTAGTGAACACTTTGAAAAACAGACTCTGTCTACAGTGTTCGAACGCATAAATATTATGCTTTACTCGCACCTTCGATTGATGACGTTTCTTTCTCAGAATGTTTGCGTGATCGCAGACTTATATTCACGGAACCTTCACAGTCTGACATGGGGTCATCATCCAATCCAAACAAGTGTAGTTGATTTATTTACGTTACAACCCGGTGCTAGTGGATTCTCAGAGGTGGACGTAGCACAGCATCATTCAGCAATGGTTTTTTCATTACCAACACTAGCCGCTAGCACATCCGCATGATGTATCAATCAGGAAAGTTGTCCGGGGGGTTGCAACACAAGACTGCAACGCGGCCTAAATTTAGAAGAAACACTGCGCGGTTGTTCATCTTCAAAAATGTAGGACGCCTGCTGATGCCTTGGCACTTGACCAAGTGTCATAAGTCCTGTGCCGATGCTTTTTGCTTCACAAGCAACTACCTTGCTTGACTGTTGAGAGATTGCCAAAGCCATACCACACGGCATGATTTGTAGATAATTCGGTTAAGATGTTGCAGATGCGCCTTCGGGCAAGTTCGTTCAGCAACAGTTTTTTGGATACGACATACTCGTTTAGGAGCTCGGAATATGGAGAATTCTTGTTCTGTGAAGAATTATTCATTTATGCCATCATACGAAGCCTTACGATTGTAAGAGCGAGCAGAACGTGTGAGTTGATTTCCTTCCCTTGGAGAGCTTAGGTTTAGGGATTGCCCCGGCATCCAAGAGTTTACGATTGCAAGAGCAAGGTGTACTAGAACGCATGAGGCCGCAGGAACGTCGGAATGTAGGGTTTGCGGCCGTTTCGAGTAGAGCGCAAGTAAAGTGATGCTAGAACTGGGCCCCGAACACTAAAACCTATTTCACGGGAAATATTGTGTTAACATTGTGAGGGGGCAGAGAGGGAGGGGGGTTGTGTACCTATGTGTGCGTGTGTGTGTGTGTGGGTGTGTGTGTGTGTGCGTGCGTGTGTGCGTGTGTGCGTGTGTGCGTGTGTGGGTGTGTGGGTG